AAAAGTAGTACGAATTCGCTATATTTTGTGAACTGCTATGCTAATCTGACTTCGCGGGAATATTTTATTATTTTCTCTTTTTTTCTTGTACAAATAAGAACTTATTTAACTTAATTTAGCAATATTATAAGAAATATTTTAGAGGCAGCCAGTATTTTTATATACGCGCTGTTAAAAAGAATTAAGGATGCCTCTAAGAGTTTCTATAAACTGTATTATGAGATAGTAAATAAAACTGTTTTTACCAAGTTTGGTTCGATGAGATATCGCTAACACAGCTAGAATTAGTTCATCTCGTCATCATGAGTACTTCGATATAAGTGCCAGTTTTGCCAGAAAAAAGCGACAAACTTCGATAAAACTGTTAATACGACTACGTGTGATTTGCTATCCATTTTTTTTTAATTTTCCAGTAATTTGTCATCAAATTACTTAATACTTCACGAGTAAACGTTCATTATCACACTATATTAAAATGAGAAATTTATGCCTAGTAGAAATATGAGATAGTTTTCTGACAGAAATTAGTCCGCTTGTCAATAAAATTTAATATTTAACTAAATAAAAAAAAGTATTTTTTTTCAAAGGTTGCCACTTGACAGTAAATGACGCAAAAGTGACGATAAGAGTCTCGAATGTAACTTTGTGGTTAAGAGGTAGACAAATTCATGTGAGTGTAATAATTAGTTATCAATTGTTTATTAATACGTTAAATAAATAAATGTATAAAAATATTTAATAATTGAACAATGTAACATGGAAATGTAGCACTGAAACAATTGCATCAAGGAGCTCAAAAGCAATATACTTGTAGTATATTTATGCAGGCTACTATTTTGTTGTTCCTACCTCCATGTTGTTATACCCTGTACAGTTTGCCGCAAAGTTTATTATACCAAAAGAAAACGTAGGGTCGCCATATGAAGTATATATGGTAGATATGTATGTATTAGGGTGGAGCGAAAAAATTTTTTTTTTTGCTTAGCCTGAGGGTAAAATCTGTAGATTATAAAAAAAAGAAAATTTTTGGACTAAAAAAATTATATTTTTAATATCTAGAGGGGCCCACTCAGTTTTAAAGTAATTTTATTTTTATTTTTAATTTTTTATATTTACAGACTTTACTCTCTGGTTAAGCAAAAAAAAAAAATTTTTTTCGCTCCACCCTAGTATGTATATACGTATATAAATGATTAGCGTGACGTTCTTAGCCGATTTAGCCATATCCGTCTGTCCATCTGTATATACGCGCACTTATTATTCAGTTTTTGAGATATCGATCAGAGAATTTGCACATCTGCACAGATCTCTTCACGAAATTTAGCACAAATTTTTTTCCACAAATCAGTATAATTTCCGAACAAATTGTTTTGATCGAACCACTATGGGATATAGCTGCCATACAAATTGACCAACCAAAATCAAGATAGAGGTATTTTTATAGCCTATATGCTACAAGAAATGCACCTGTGAAGGGTATTATAACTCCCTCTTCGGTGTAGCCTTGTTTCAATTGAAAAAATAAAAAAAAGTAAATTTAAAGTTGAGCAGTAGCGAATTCGCAGTAGCTCAAAATACCAACTCAAATTAATTTAAAAACGCGCAAACACAAGCACATACATATCAACACACACCAATAGAAATGTAAAAGCAAGCGAGTCAACAATTGCAGGTAAATATTCTAGGCAAAAGCTTCGCAATGCAAATGCAGCGAGATTTCAACAATTTCAATGCAATTCGACTGTCAGTGGCACTTGCACTAACAACAAACAGTAACAGTTACAACAACAAACAGCAGACAGCATTGATTGTTGGATTAATAACCAATAAAGCAGTAAAGCAAAGCGATTTTTGTGTTATAATGAAATTTACCTGATTGCTCCATGTCGGATATTGCGGTGAATGCTGCCAGCAAAATGGATCAAAGTGCAGCAAAACAACAAATTGAGAGAAAAAAACTGTTTTACGCTATTGATATGTGCATTTGTATATACATTAGAGTGGGTCAAAAAATCGAAAATTGTTTGCTTGCTACTCTGAAAAATAGGTTCTTAGACACCATAAGCAAGTCTCTCCAATTATGAGCTCGTAAGTGTACCGGGATGGCCCTACGCCTTACGGTTTTCTATTTTTTCTTCGTATCACATAGAAAAATTTACATCTCGCTTTCAACTATATATCAACAATACATAACTGTTTGTGTGAGTCATCCACGGGTTTTTAAAGTTATTTTAGGACATACCCTGTAGGAATAAACTGCTTGTATAATTAGTAATGGCAACGCTGCCGTTGAAGGATTCGTTTTTCCTACAGGGTATAACATACACTGTACAAATATGTGTTTTTATATTTGTGTGTCTTGTAGTCGCATATTCTATAATTTCCAATATTAATCTGTTGTTTTATTATGAAATTGACGAGCATGCACTGCAGTGGCAATAATTCATTGCTCTTATGGTTGTACAAATTGAATTATTTGAGGGAAAAAATTTAAGTTTGCGAAAAGTGATTGCCATCAATGGGTACTACAAAGCTGTGTGGGTGTAGTGGCGCGAGTTTATGTATGAAATAAAAGTCTTTTTACTGCAGCGCGTAATGAAAATTTAACAGACCTTCAATCCTTTGTACAACTCGGTTTGCAAGTGGCATTTCATTAAATAATATATCTCATATTCATTTGTTTACAGCACAATCTCGTTAAAAGGGTGTACTCAGACGTATTTTTATATTGCAGTATACCTATTTCCCTTGGTTGTATAAAAAATCTTCAACTGGATATTCTGTAATAAAGAATCTCTTAAAATAAAAATTAAAAAAAAACACTTAACTTCAGTTGCACAGAAGTTATAATACCGTTCACAAATGCAAGAACTTGACTTTGATCGGCCAGTTTGCATGGCAGCCGTACGCTATAGTGGTCCGATATGAATAATTTATTTGACGGGTATCTCAAATTTTGTGAAGTTATCTCCTCAAATGAGTGAGCTGCCCATATAAACAATTGATTCCGATCGTTCAGTTTGTATGACAGCTACTTGCTACAGTAATCTTAGGATTGTAGCTATGCCTTAGGCTATAGTCTATGCTAGTCAAATAAAAAAAGTTTTCCGTGCAAACACTTTAATTCGACCGTTCAGTTTGTGTGGTATCTATATGCTATAGTAGTACAATATCGGTGGTTCCGATAAATGAGCAGTTTCTTGGGGAGAAAGGGAGGTATGGAAACAGATCGATACCTCAAAAACTGGGGGACTACTTCGCGTATACGAGTATACAGACAGACAGACGGACATAGCTAAATCGAGCTCAGTTCGTCACGCTGATCATTTATGTATATATTTTATAATTTACTTCTGGGTGTTATAAACTTCGTGGAAAACATTAATATATCCTGTTTAGGGTATTAAAATAAATTGTGGGAAATAATTCCAAATATAAATTTTTGTAATGTTCCAGCATGCCTACCATTAATTCTATTAAGATACCATCTTGCTTAACGGTGTATTCATGAGATGGTTTCTGCATGGTTTTCGTCCATGCATTACTTCAAACCATTTTATTTTCAGAGTACCACTTCCACATAAATGTCTCGTTTTCACGTTTTGGCACTTCACATACTATCAAATATAAATCAGTAAACTAACATCCCAAGTTTAAACTGTCTTAAGAAAAAGGGTAACGAAAACGCTATTCACAAATTATGTTAAAATTGATTAAAACGATTGTGGACATAATACAATATATTGCCACAAAAAATTAATTAAAATTTATTTTTGATCGGATCAGCTTGTAAATTCAAAACACATATAAGCACCTTCACCCCGTTTCTCATCAGGAGCGTTATCCTGCTATCTGCGAAGCTAGCATTCTTCCAGTAATATTCAGTTATATAATCTTACAATACATTAAGTTCGTTACAGGCATAGGACTGTCAGATAAGTGCTTTGCTTCACATCCATATCAAGAAGAGTTGTGTAGTATGTTCTCGCAGACTGCTACTTTAAAAACTTTTATCAACGTTTCGTTTTCATCTCGCAGTGACTCCATAAAATGTTCGGACGCTCTACTACTTCGAAGACGACCGTTTAATATTACGTTAACGAGTATACACGTAGACGCACCATGTGTTTTAATTAGCCACCAGCAGGTGTTCCGAAAACGGATACCAAGGAGAATAACGTGACAAAAGTCAGTAATGTCATATTGACAGACCGCTGACTGAAGGTGCCCGAGATACTGTGCGAGACAGTTTAAGCCTCAAATATTAGACATGAGACACTTTTCGGCGTAAGTGGATCCACGTTTGCTTACTTCGGAAAACAAGCTCAACCATGAGGCACCTTTTCATCAATGATTAATACTATTAAAACGCACTTCAAAGGAATTTCTGCATTGTTTGATATCCAGTGGTTCAAGCAATAGTTAAAACAGTGGACTTCACCCGGCGAAGCGACTCCACAAAGACGAAGACTAACCTATCATCCACCATATTCTCCAAATGTGGCCACTTACTTTATATAACTTTAGATAACATATATTCAGACTGGTTAAGAAGTTCCAGTATCGTTGGGCCAAATGTATTGAGATAAAAGGAGACCTTGTTGAGAAATTGAATCTCTATTTTCCAAAAATTTTCCAATCGCCCTCGTATTATTCGATTTTTAAATATTTTACTTAAAATATAATAATTTTGGTTCAATCTCGAATAATAATTTCTAGTATTCATGAACATCTTTCGTCAGCATATAGTTTTGCTGAGGGATAATTGCCCGACCTAAAATGTATAAAAGTGAAGTTAGCGGAGCTTCCTAAATGGACAAAACTACAAATTATTTTAACTAGAACCCAATCCTAAGGAGTTTTAAAGTAGAAGTTTCTTACTTTGAATCTAAGCAAACAAAAGTTTATATTGTAATTTGAAGACAGCCGCTATTCTGATTATTCATAAATCGAGTTTGACTAGGCACCAGAAACTTTAGGACAATGAAAACAAACTATTCTTAATTTACGATTTCGGATTAAAGATGATTAATTACTAATGTGTATTAAGTCCATAATTTTGATTCCGATTGCTATTAATCCGCTATGGATTTCCATTCTTTACACATCAAACGTATACATAAAATTGTATTTCACACTTCCATAAATGTATGTAGTTATACATACATACATATATCATATACTTGTATATGCACATATTATATTGTATATATACACATATATATATCGCTAACGCCTCAGGCCACGTAAAACTGCTAAATTTATTTCATTTTGTATTTTAATATCTGGATCCGATTGCCGCGCACGATGAAAAAGCATCTGTTCGTAGCCGGGCTCATATTTGAATGACAAATGGTGTAACCAACCGTATACTTGATTTTCCGTTCGCGGCGTCAGGTAAAATGTGCGCGGCGTGTAGTTTTGCCGCTTTTCTATTTCCTCACAGTAATGTTTGTAACTTAACCCAATTTTTGGATCTTCATTGAGAGTGTCATGTCGTGCATAGAACTTCTCTGTTAAAGCTTTCACATTGTAACTCGGTTTGAATCCCTTTCTGGTATCAACTTCCCCGCAACAAGTCATCTTAAACTTTCACTATTTAATAATCCTAATTCCTTTCCTAAAGAAAATAATATTTTTCTCTATTTTACGTATGTGTATATACTACAGAAAAAAAAAAGTATGTTTGTGTTATATTTTTCAGTTAACGAAAGATAAACAATTGTTTACTACTTTCACAAAAATTTAAAAATTGATTTTCGAAAAAATTTTTGTTGAAAAATTTAATTGATTGTGTGGTGAGATTAATGTGGTTTGGCAATAATTATATGTTGAGGGCGTTTGCAGATCTTGAAAGCTTTCGTCAATTGGAAGAATAGTAAAAAAGTTTTTTCTGTTCAATACGCCTTAAAGTTCCGTATATAAAATTTTCAGAGCGCCTTTCTCTAAACAGTATTCTTCTAACCGGGTAACAGTAGTACTCGTAGACTACCGCACGTATAAATTCGTTATTCTTACTTTTGGAATTTTGTTATAAACAATTTGCTGCTATTTTTTCTAGTAAAAAATTTGATCTTTTTTATAGACACCGTTTTGTGACTGGATGTAAAGTTAAAAACAAAAACAAAGTTCTTATGGAGATTAGGATTAAGCCTCTATTTTTGTATAAAATAGCATTGGTGCCTAGAATCACCACTGCTTGTACAGTTTCTCTTGAAAAAGGTGATTACGCAAGTTTGCCATGATGCTTGTAACACCCAAAAGGAAACGTCTGAAACTCTATGAAATATATATTATATATGATGACTTGAGTCGATTTAGCATTGTCTGTCTGTCGCTCAGTTTGTTGATCTGAAATTTTGCACACTTCGTTTTCTCTTCAAGAAGCTGTTAAAGTTTGTGGATTTGATGAGATGCTTTTAAAACCATGTTTTTTGTTTTAATTTTAAATATAATTAAATAATTCTATACAAGTTTTATATATGGCTGACCGAATTTAAGAGTAAAGCACTGTTCGTGTACATGAGGAACTCTAAATATTTTTTATTTAATACATTTCATGTACGCTTGTATCTTATACAAGTATTTAAAAAAAAAGGAACTAATTATTCTTTTAAAATTCATAACAAGATCTATGCATGGCAAAAAATATTAGTAGTGATATAAAAATATAAAAAATTTCAATTAAAAATTTATTTGCAGATGAGATTCTTTGTGCTCTCCACGTATCGCTTTTCTATATTTGTGACAGGCTGACTTTGTGATACGCTTTTTTGATAATTATACAATTCGCACATACTCTTATTATTAATTTTTGGTGTTGGCTGAATGTTAGTGGTATTTATGTTTTCATCTGATGTCATGATATTCTTACTACGGGCTCTTGTGGAACCTATAAGAGTAGGTATATTTATCATCTCAGTCATCAAAGGCTCTACAATTTTCTTGTGAATGTTTTCACGAATTTTTCTCGGCGTAATGGTTTTTTAGATAGACGCAGAATATTTTGTACATATATTATATATTATATGCACATTGGCTACCTATTTGTCTAGCGAGAGAATGACATTATGCTGCACATCTGGTTCAATGAGTCTACCCTTCCTTTGGTGGCGTTATAAAATACTATCACATGCATTTTTTTGTTCCCTCTTCGTGGCACGATGGCAGTAAGAGAAAAACTTTACTTGTATTAGGGTTCGGCTTATGTGATAGTAAAGTTATTTCTTCGTTTTTGCAAAACATTGAAATTTGAGACTTTTTTACTTTGGCGATTTCCTGTTTTGTTTGATCTCAAGGTTTCGACAATAGTTAAATTGTATGGTTCTCTGAATAAAAATTTTTACAGAGGAATGGATGTATGGTAACAATCCTCTTAGTTCCATGAATACTCTTTTTCAATCCTTTGACGAAATACTTAGCTAAAGGCAGATTTCCACAGGTTGATACTTTTTCGAGAGGTGGCATCGCTTTTACCATATACTTCGTGCCACTATCACACATCATGACTATTTTCTACCAATACTTCGCGGGTTTGTTCGGCATACACATTTGAAATGATGATCGACTTCTAAATGCCAAAAGTTTCTTGTCAACCGTCATATAACTTCCCGGAGTATAGTTGTTCTAGAAATACTTAGAAGGCGCTGTGATTTATCATCAAACCGCAAACGCGTTTGTAAGTTGCAGCGTACTGAGATCTAGAATAAGAGCTATCAAAGAGCTCTTTTGCTGATAAACAATTATCTTTTTTAGCAGTTGAGAGAACAAGTAGTTTGAACTAAGCCTGTATTTAAATTTCAGTTGTTATTTTATTTGTTGGAGTAATTGGTATCGAGACATTATGTCTCAAGTTTCGTGATTAGTCCATTTGAATATTTCCTTTATTATTTCACCACTTATGAACAAACGGAACAACTGAAGGGCATCAATGACATGAAACAAGAGTGGCTCCACGAGCTTGTCGAAAAATATTGCATTGAGTGCGGTGACTTTTTGGTTTGATGGTAGACCATTTATGATGATTTTTTCCTCGCAAGCGTGTGGTGTAAAACTTACCACATCAGATGTTTTTGCTTGCGGCAATATGTTTATGGTAGAGGTAAGTCGTCATTTAAAAAATTATCTAAGTGCTCATTATCAAAATTGTTCTCATCACCGCTACACTCAGTCGAGGGCATTCCTCATCAGGGCCGGTAGAGTTCTCTGATTCTTCATTCGACAAACAAGACAAATCAAACTTCGCCTCAGAGTCGTCACATGTCTTCAAAAACTTTTCTATTGCAGCAACCGATGATGTTAGTCGATTCATTTTGGCAATTTTTCTTATTCTGGAGGAAATAAATAAGGAAACGATGAAAATAAACAATCTAAAATATAAAACTCATTAACACAAAATGTCACATTAATACTTATCATCGTCGTTTTGACGAGTAATGAAAGCAAAAGAAAACCAATCATGATCGTCCCAACAGAAAAAAGCGTGCTCTAAACAAGAGAAGATAAAATAATAAGTTGAGTGAAAATGTATGAAATAAGAGTAGTAGCCGACTAGCCACCAACGATCATTAAAACTCTAAGGTAAAATCTCATCGATATTTTTTTCCACAAATTATGATATCGAATATTCAAAATCTTAGCAGCAATATTCAGTCAACACAACAATAATTCTTAGTATAATCAAAGATTCGATGTCTAGTGCAGCTGGAGAGTGCACAAATGATACTTACAATAAGTCGCATGAAGCTCTTACCAATGATTTCTGTATAAAAAGCTTGAAAAGAATCAGAAATTTTACAATACTTTCAGTTTTGCTTCAAACAACTCATAAACTAACTTGAAAAAATATTTACAATATAAACAAATATTTCAACAGAAAGCTTTTATAGAAGCATAAAAATATTTGCGCAATGACTTGTTGTAAACCGCAAGACAAATCTAAATTTCGACCTAACTTTCGCGAAAAAGCGCTCACGGAGAAATTCTATGCGCGCCACGATCATTTGAAGCTTGACGAAAAATACGCAAAGGTTTACGAAATATACGCCAGTAATATTGCCAGTCGACAGAAAACGGCTTTTCGTGAGAATCGTTTAGTGCCGCTTACCGAAAATCAAGTCTACGGTTGGTTATCACATTTAGCCTTCGATTATAGCACTGGCTGTGATCCCCATCTATACCGGCATCATTTCCACACACACGAGTCGATAAAGACACAGTTGCGTGTTATTACCGATTTGCTGCGTCACCGTAAGCTTTAAGAGATGGATAATATTTTTTCCAATGGAAAATATATATTTATATATGTGTATCTCAAACTGAATAGCCATATATTTTTGTAATATTTACATATTTATATAAGAAGTGCCAATAAAGGTGAAGGCGAGAAAACATTGCAAATATTTTGCCGTTTATAATAATTTTTGGTGTAGTACTCTGCTCTGAGAACTTATAAAACGCGTGTGTGAGTGGAACTTTGTTCGCTCGTTCACTTGATTTTCGGTTGATCGTCCAATCTACAAAGCGATCATTTTCTAGCTATCACTGTATTTGTATAGCTTAGTATTGCATACTTTTAGGGTGTTATCTACTGGAGACGAAACAAAACAGGGTGGCTCAGGTAAACTGAAATTGCGAAGTTTATTCTTCTAACAATGCAGGAACCAAATGCAAGACTGATGTATCAGCTCGGACGACAAGTAATTCTAGTAAATATAATATAGAGGATCGTTTGGATTTTCTCTGCTAATCTGTATATAGATATATGAATAAAGAACTTACTCAAAAAATCAAATATGTATTCTCATATTTAGAAACATTGTATATGTATTGTGTAAATATGTATACAAATATAATAGTGTCCCCAGACTTGACTCACTTCGAGGGAGGAAATAATATAGTGTCAACGATTTATCCGCTGCTGTAGCCGTATATTCATAGCGAATATTTGAATTTCGGGAACAGAAAAATCAAAATATACCAAAGTAGATGCTGAACTTGGTTCGTGTTTTGTTGGCAAGCGGCTATTTTTTGATCATCATTTAAAAAAAAAGCAAATAAGGGAGCGCTTGGTTCAAGTGTATCCCAATATTTTATGCTCTTGCAAAGCAGGGGAAATACCATCAAGTGTTGTCAAAGCTTTATATTAAACAAGTAAAAAAGCGCTAAGTTCGGATGTAACCGAACATTTCATACTTTTGCAACTTGCCAGGATCAAAGCCAGGAAAATACCTCAGGTGCACAAGGTTTGTTAGAACAACGAAAATCTATATGTGAAGTATATTGTAGTTTGGGTAGTTTGTGGACTAGTTTCACATATTTTCGGCATTAAACTATAGTATATCCAATATTATACATTCACTTAATTTTGCTAAAGTATCTTACTTATTTGCCTATATATGTGAAATAAAGTCAACCAGTTCGAAAATAATAATAAAATAATCTAATAGAAAGTAAATATAAGTATGGGGGCTAAAAGAATTATTGACCCGATACAACCCATTTTTGACATACAGATATATTATTAACAAAAAAGGATTATCTTTGAATTTCTATAACATGTCTCACAGATTAACCATATTTTCGATAAAATGTTTGCTGTAGGAACTGGGGTCCACATATTCGGTATCTGGGGCTCGAATAATTTTATTCCGATTTGGACAAATTTTGGTAATAAATGGGCGCACATTAAAGGCACTATTCGTGCAAAGTTTT